TCTCAAGTTTTAAGTCTCTTTTAATCAAAGAAGGTCTGTACTCTTTTTAAAAACCTTATTTATTTGCTTAAGAAATTGGATTGTTGTCCTGTGGAGTTTGCATTCTGGATATTGCTGATTGTGTCCTTATTTTGTTTATTAAGTTCATCTGGCCAATCTTATGTCCTTTAAATTGGTAATGAGATTTAGAGGCTTGTTGAGATTCAAGTTTTTTGGCTTGAATATCTCAGGTGTGGTGGTGTTTATTCTTACAGTGTTACACTAGGAGGCTCATTGGATCTGGTTGTCTCTCCTGTGATGTTGAAATTAATCACTGGGTTCAGGTGTCATCAGCATGATCTGTTCTTTATAAAATTTCCCTATTCACCTTTACTTCATGTTTTTTGCAGTCTCTGAATATTCTTACCTGTATCTGCATTTCATTAAATGTTACAAAAAGGGTGACATTGTAATTCTGATTTCTTCTGCCTTCACCAGCTGGAATTCATGTATAAAGAAAACTTCCTCTGACCTATTAGATTATATTGAGATGTGGTATACACAGGGAAGGTAGGATGAATGTTTAGTTCTTTTGCAGTATTTCCACTTTCCAAAACAGTGACTTGTTTCCTTAGGAGTTTCCAAAGGTGAGCAGTGAGCTTGTTCTGTTTGTGTTTTGTTTTTTTGGATTCAGTCTGAGTACTTTTGGTTGCTCATTGCTACTGGGTTAGTCATTTTTTTTGTCCTCTCCAGTGTGTTTAACCAGGAAATGTGTATCCTTTGTAAGAGATATATGTCATCTGCTTTTATCCCGGGCTGCTCCTCTGTCCTATTATAGGTAATCATTTTATTAGTTTTTGTTATTACCCTCATTCTAAAAAAAAAAAAAAGCAAATATGTATATTATTTATTGTATTACTTCCCCAGTAAAAATTTATCCAGAAATGAAAATGTTCTATATCTAAACTGTGCAACACAGTAGCCACTAGCTAGCTATGGTTATTGAGCATGTGAAACGTGATGAGTAAGACTAAGAAACTGAGTTTGTAATTTAAATTAAGTTGACATATGTCAGTAGTGGCTACTGTATTGGATACTGCTGCTCTATACTTTTTTTTTTCTTCTTCTTCTTCTTGCTTTTTATTTCACAATGTGTCGTAGAGATTACTCATAGCAGTACAGAGAGGGAGTCCTCCTTGCTTTCTATACTTGCATAGTACTCTAGGGTATAGTTGTACCTTAGATTATTTAGTTGGCCCTGTACTGGGCATCTGTCATATTACTAGTATTCTGTTAGGAATTTTCTACCATAAATAGCCTTGTGTATATACCTTTTATCTTTTTGCAGTGTTTCTTTGGGATGGATTTTTAGAAGAGGGATTGCTGTTTCCAAGAGTAAATACCAATGTATTTTTATAGATAGCATCAAACCCCACCACAGGGACTGTACCATTTAACATTACTTCTAGCAATGCATGAAAATGCCTATTTCCCCACAGAGGAAGAGGAATGCTGAGGGGTGGTGAACATCATGTGAGAAGTTCATGAAAGCCATCTCACTAAATAAATCAGGAGAATTAGATATTTGGATAGGAGTCCTACTCCTGTGCTTGTCTGTGACAATTCAGTCTCTACTCTTTTCAGTCTTTTGTGGATCTGGGTCCACATCCCTCAAATGGGAGAGGCAGTCTTGCATAAAGCAGAAACTTCATGTCAGCTAGAAGACCAAATTGGAGGGACTTCTATCCTAGGGAAAAGACAAGCACAAAACCAGAAATCCACAACTCTGATGTAGTGAAGGGCTAAAAGAGAAAGTAAACATGTAGTCCCTTACTCATGAGGAGAACCAAGGATGAAACCAACACAAGGGTGACCTTATCCTTTACTCTCCATCTGCGAACTGAATAGAAAGCTGCAAGAGTTTGTGTGTGTGTAATTGTTGTGAAGAAGACTGAGATACAAGCAACATGCAGACACCCACACTGAAACATATAAACACACCATCAAATAGTTTTGAGCTACTTGTCTTATGTATAAAACAGTATACTGTGAACATGTTTCTAAAGCAATGAATATATGAGCATCGTATTTGTAATTTCACAACTTTTTATTTTCCACGTTTTGTACAATAAAGTTTCTAAATTTAAAACACCAGAGAATTGCACATTTATAAAATAAAAGAATCCTCTATCTCTCTACAATGTGCACACACTGATTTACAAAATATAATTTTTAATGTACTATTTTCACACAGCATATGAACATGATTCTTAATGCATTTCTACACTATAATTTTGTGACTAGGTCACAGATTTTTCTGATTTACAGAACAGAATCTTAATAACTTTGTCACATTATCAGTTAATTATTTTCATTGTTTAAGATTTATCAAATATAATCAAAATGTATATTACATATTAAAAATATTGTCCATCTGTCACATCTTCTCCTTCTCCATATACAAAGATAGTTTCTCTTAATTTATTAGTATCCACTCTTCAGATGTTTTTCTCTGCATATAGTATACTAACTTTTATTGACACACATACCTTTAAATCCATGTTAATCTGTCTATATAAATTATTTTACATAAATCCATGCACTACATTATAATTTATGACTTAACTGGTTGACTAAATATGATTCTGTTTCATATATTTTATTTGTTTTGGTGTGTTCCCAAGTGTTGGAATTTATATCATTTTTCTAAGATTTATATATTGTCTCTTGATATGATTGGCTTACTTCTCTTGTTCATGAATATTTCATATTTGTAGGATATAAAACATGATTGAATATGGGTTAGAAATAATTTCTCCCAAATTTTTTATTTCTTCTTGTTTTCTATTTTAGCTATGCAAATACAATTCTATACTTTATAATTTTTTACTATGTAAAAAGCACTTTAGCACATTGTTTTCGAAAGAACGACTCAACTAAATAATAATGCTTTAAGGCCAGGTGCAGTGGCTCACACCTGTAATCCCAGCACTTTGGGAGGCCGACATGGGTGGATCACTTGAGGTCAGGAGTTTGAGACCAGCCTGGCCAACATCAGGAAACCCCATCTCTACTAAAAATACAAAAAATTATCTGGACTTGGTGGTGCACGCCTGTAGTCCCAGCTACTCAGGAGGCTGAGGCAGGAGAATCGTTTGAACCCAGGAGGAGGAGGCTACAATAAGCCACTGCACTCCAGCCTGGGTGACAGAGCGATACTCCATCTCTTAAAAAAAAAAAAAAAAAAAAAAATGCTTTAAGTTATATCAAATGTCAGCTGATGGGACAGAAGGGAAAAAACGTTTTGAATAATTCTAGGTTTAGAATCCTGGAACAATAGTTTATAAGGTAGTTTCCCTAGATCAAGTTATCAGTCTTTTCATTTGTGCTCCCTGATCCAACTAATGGGCATAATTATTTGTACTGGATAGAATTGTTGAAATCAAAATGAGATGAAATATAAAATACCCTTTATATAGTAGTTGTGTACCTGTTAATAGACTACCATCCAGGTTCCCTTTCCAAAGGGCTATAGCTTGGTCTAGTTCAACCTCTCAGGGATCAGCCAGTCCATGTACGTACAGAAGATACTTTATCTTACATTTAGTGGTGTAACTTGCTTATTTAACTGTAGTGGGTAGAATTTTGTCCCCCTCAAAACATGTCCCAATCCTAATCCACCCAAACTTTATTTGGAAATAGGGTCTGTGTAGACATAATGAAGTGAAAGATCTCCCAGAAGGGAATATCCTGAATGTAGGTTGATGCCTAACTCCAATGACTGGTGTCTATATAAAAGAAAGCAGAGGGAGATTTGACACATGCAGGGAAGAAGGCCATGTGAAGACTGAGGCAGAGATTGAGTTACGCCACCTCAGACCAAATAAAACAGGAGCCACAAGAAGCTGGAAGAGCTAAGAAAGGATTCTCCCCTAAAGGCTTTGGAGGCAGTGCAGTCCTGCCTACACCTTGATTTTGTACTTCAGACTTTGATTTTGTACATCTGAATCATGGGATAATAAATTTCTGTTGTTTAAATATGCAAAGTTTGTGATAATTTGTTACGGTGACCCTAGGAAACTATTACATGTACAAACATCATACCCCAAATGTCGTTGATTATGAATAAACATTGGTTGATACCCTAATTTTTTTTCATGGCTACAGGGATACAAATACCAGTAAGGTATGTGAAAAGTATTTAAAAGTGCCAACATATCATAGGTACTATATGCTTTTAATGTGTTGGATCATTCAGTACCTAGAACACACTTATGAGTTAAATACTATTGCAAAATTCAGTTTTACAGATGGAAAACTAAGGGACAGAGAGTTTAAGGACTTTGCCTAAGACTGAACAGTTAGGGAGCAGGACAGCTTGGACTTATGTCCAGTGCATCATGCTCTAGAGCCTGGGAAACTATGAAAGCTCTGTTGTTAGGTGAAAGAAGCAGTTTGCAATCATACATACTGTAGGAGCTCATTAAAAGTAATATGCCCTATGTTAGTGTATTTATACGAAACCTGGACCTAGTAAGAAATGGGTGGATTATGACTTTGGAGAGAATGTTCATTGCAATCCCAGAGATAGAAGGCATAGGGCAGTAGGATGATGAGTGGGAAGTGAAAAATGTTAACAGAGCATGTAGAAAACTCTTTTTGGTACTTTGAATATGAAGGAGAAGAAAGATAAGGGAGGGAGAGACAGAGACAGGGAGATATGTATCCTGTAGCTGAATGGGTGATGAGGGGGTCCAAGGAGAGATTTTTTTAAAATATTCAATTTCTTGAAACCTGACGAAGTTAAAAGCTAATGTGAAAAAAAGCTATCTCAGAATGAACCCTTGAAGTTGCCCACGTGTTTATTTCCCTTATGCTTTTATATCACATTAGAGCTCATGAGACACCTCCAATGTAATAGAATGGGTTTTGAGCTCAATACATATTTAGTTATTACCTAATGAAAGAATAGACATTGTGTGTGAAGAAATGCTAGTAACTCTTGGATTTTTGTCTCTCAGGGAGGCAGCAGATGGCTGAAATTCTGACGCAATGTGGCTGGTTAATGCACGATCTCAAAACCCCTGCACTGGTGATTTTGGGACAGATCTAGAATATACCAATAAATGTATTAACATACCAAGTAGTCCAGGAGCAGCCACTGGGCAAACACCATACCTTGCATCCCTGGTGCTGTCTCTGAGCTCAACAGGTAAGTTCAAAGACATTCCTGTCTTCCCAGTGTGGGGAACTAAATTTGGGTCATCTCAGAAGCATGATGTTAGACAGCTCTTATGAGTTTCTGATAACACTCACGAAGTAGAGAAACTACTGTCTACAAAACTTTGAACTCAAGGCATATCACAGGAACATTTGCTTTCTTCAACTAGATGTCTGTATTCTCATAAGGGGGAGCAATGAGAAATGATTTTTCACAATGCCTGCCTTAGCACTGAGGCTCTGCCAGCCCCTAATACTATGTCCCATTTAAAGGCCATTTAAGTCCCACCCCATGCCATATACTCTGAAGAGGTTTCCTCATGTACCCATCAGGCAGCTATGTAAGGATGGTATGGTCAGTCCCATTTAAAAGATGACTAAGCTCAGGCTCTTACCTAAGTCACCTCTTCAGGTAAGTGGCAGGATTTGAATGAAATTCCATCCCTCACCCTCCCTAGAGGACCCTGAGGAGCCTCCCTTTTAGAAGATGGGTTTCTGGGCTTGAGAAATGGTGAGATTCCACCCCCCTGCTATTGTGACCCCATGAGTCTTTACTCAACAACTTTTCTGGGTGAAGATGACAGAGGTGAGATCCCATTCTTTGTGCCAACAGACCTGTGTGTAGGGACACATGAGTTGGCTGATTGATGCCTGAAGTGGTGAGTGGGCTCAGGCAGAAGCTCAAGAGTTGGCCTTGAGACAGGTGAGCGCATATATATGAGAGAGAGAGTTTATTAAGTATTAACTTACACAGTCACAAGGTCCCACAATAGGCCATCTGCAAGCTGAGGAACAAGGAGAGTCAGTTCGTGTCCCAAAACTGAAGAACTTTGAGTCCGATGTTCGAGGGCAGGAAGCATCCAGCACGGGAGAAAGATGTAGGCTGGGAGGCTAGACCAGCCTCTCTTTTTCACATTTTTCTGCCTGCTTTATATTCACTGGAAGCTGATTAGATTGTGCCCACCAGATTAAGAGTGGATCTGCCTTTCCCAGCCCACTGACTCAAATGTTAATGTCTTTTGGAAGCACCCACACAGACACACCTGGGATTAATACTTTGTATCCTTCAATCCAATCAACTTGACACTCAGTGTTAACCATCACAACTCCTTTAGGCAAATGCACTCTATATTTCATCTCCTTTAATCTCAACAGCTATTCAAGTTACCTACAAGAATACCCACTGAATTATGTCCGTTATTCAGATCAGGGTACTTTAGACAAGTTTCTGTACATCAGGGAAATACCTTTGTTGTGTCTCGATTAGCAGGTAATTCTGAATTATTCTAAAGTTTTCTCCAGTTTGTCTCTGTGCTTCCTGGGCTCGGAATGATCTAATCTCCTTGGGCACTGCCATTACATGTTCCAAGGCAGTTTAACATTTTTTTAAAAAATTGTGATCCATGTGGTTTTAAGTCAGAAGATAATTTAAATTGAAAAATTCTCAACTAAACCTAAGAATAGCGTAAAAACTCTGGAAAAATCTGTGCAAACTAGAGCTGAGATACTGGGTTAGAATTCATGCTTTGTGAAGCACACTAACAAAGAACTTAGGCAAATAATTTCAGTGGAGAAGTCAAATAATTAGATACATTAACAATAAACCCATGAACTATGCCAAAACCACAGAAACTAATAAGATGTAAATATAAATCCTGAGAAGAATAGTGGAAAAAATATGTTGCAAAAGAAGATAAGGATGTGATTCAACCTTTGGAACAGTCTGTGTGTGTGTGTGTGTGTGTGTGTGTGTGTGTGTGTGTGTGTGTAGGTGAACATATTTATGTGCATCTCACCTGTGGAGACACATTTCACAGTATGCACCATTCTATGGACAGCAGACACCTAGGGGTCAGGAGTTAGGAGCTGCTCCAGTGAGAGATACAGGTTAATTTCAATTCATATATGTGTTTTTATATGTTGTTTTACATTTTATATTCAGGAAAAAGTATTTTGATAAAATATTAAAAAATATGCTGTGAACATATCGACAAGAGTATGGTACACATATATTCCTTACTTTAGGCATTCATTTATTCAATTTCCTAGGGAAATAATATAGATTTTTTAAAAATGAATTGACTCACACATGAGGGTGTGTGTATGTGTGTATGTTCTAGCTCCTCTAGCTCTACCACCTCAAATACAGTTCACAGTTGCAGCATTATCCCCAGTTCAGACGGACACTGTACTTCCAATCTCAAATTTAGATATCCCAGAAAACATACTTTTTTATAACCCAGAAAAATGATGGATACAGAGGGATTTCTGTAGGTACGTCAAAAATTCCAGAAAACTGGCTGAGCCCATTAATCAACCTCCCAACCTCCATCCCTCCCTTTCCCCTGCTGAACTCACCAGTCAACTCTCAGAGTTGCAATCCTGGCTCTGGCCACTAGGAGACATCACAGCCATCTTCACTTTTGTTCTTTTTTAAGGAAAAGGAGTACATCTAACAAAGAGTAACAGATGTTATAACATGGTTTGTTCACTGAAATACCAGTTCTGTTTGGAGTATTTGTGTGTATATTAAAACAGTTCCATTTGCTGTCGACCCCAAATCTACATCACATTCACTGATTCATCTCTTCCCTTCTCAGTGTAGGTCGAGGTTTCCACACTGTAGGAGGGTCCCTTCCAGACAGCAGGGCATTCGTTCACTCTCCATCCACCCCTGTACAGGCTTCCTGGACCTTCTACCACCACCTCCCACTCATCCCCTCTCCAGGACACTATAAGCACAGCCTCCCAGACCTGCCCCTTTTGCCCTCATCCTCTCTCAGTCACCTCTCACCTGCCCTGATACGATCCATTAAGATTCTGTCTTCCAGCAACAGCCAAGGAGTGTTAGACCTACCTGGTGTTTCATCCTATGGATGCCCCACCATATATGTATTTGCAGTCTTCTTTTACACTTACCAGTTGTTCTTTTTTTTTTTGACAGAATTAGAATGAATCATTCTGCACTTAGGCTCATAAGCTGTGGTTTAAGGGAAGTATTGTATTTTTTGCTCCTTGCAGACACATCTTTGCAGAAGAGTTCTATAATGGTGGTACAATGGCGCCCCCCTCATGACAGAAGCTTGAACTACAGCTTGGACATCGGTAAGCAGGAAGGTGGGAGGGAGGGGCTGTGGCCCATGCATACCCTATAGAGCATTCTGAAACTCTGGGTTGAAAAAGGAGGCATTCCAGGTTAAAGGGATACAGAAGTCGACTAGATGTTCCAGCCTCTTCATATGCTGAATAGAAAGCTGTATGTGGGAATAACAGAAAAATCATTTTAATTTCTATAGAGATGAAATACACTGTCTACATTGTTCAATACAATAGCTAATGGCAACTGTGGCGGTTGAACACCTGAAACGTGTTGAATGGAACTGAACTTTTAGTTTCATGTACGTTTAATCAACTTAAATGTAAATGGCCACATGTGGACAATGTCTACTATATTGGACAGCAGTGACTCAACACATTTTTCTGCACCTTTCTTCAGTTAACAATATATGCCGAAAATCATTACAAAGGAGTAGAAGGGGGAGTTCTCATTGCTTGTTTTACCTCCATAGAACTCTGGGATGTAGATGTACCTTAGATTATTCTATCAATTCCTTATTGATGGACATCTGTCTCATTTCTAGTCTTGTCCTGTTACAAATTGTTCTACCATGATTTGCCTTGTGTTTATGCCTTTTGTCTTTTTTAATTGTATCTTTGGGGGTACATTCTTAGAGATTGCTGGCCCTAGAAGAATACATCTGTGCTGCATAAAATAAAAGATTTGAAACGAGAGGATCTGGAAACATGGTGACAAGCAGTGAATGTTGGTTGTATCTCGTTAGTCTTTTGATTCCATGTGCTTTCTGATCTCCTATTTTCATCCTAGTGTGACATGGTGAATGAATTTATTGAGCCCCAGAAAGAAGGAATATTAAAGAAGAGCAAAGAACAATAGCTGGACAGAAGATGGGGGTCATTGAACCTGTATCCTAGTTGCCAGACCTGTAAAGTGACCACGGGACCTGGAGTGAGTCTTGTTCTTTTGTCGGCCTCTAGTCTACCACAGAAGGACATTTATTATAGGAACAGTGGTTAGCTGTGTGGGCTTTGGGGTGAGAAGGACTTGGATTTGACTCTGGGAACTATCACTTGATGGTTGCATAATCTAGAGCAAATAATTTATCTATCATGTATCCTACAATTGCTGGCATTTTTATTATTGTTTATTTTGTTTTATTATTGCACCATTCATCCAAAGGGTGAATGATAGGAATCAGGATTACACTGTCAGGTATTGCAATGTTCCATGAAACTTTGCTTTTGTAACTGATGGAGTCTTTGACATACAGATTAAAGGATGTCTGTAGAAAGCTCATGAACAGACCCATATATATATATATTACATTTAATATGCAATGTAGATATGGCATTTCCAATCAGATGCATTGTTTGAAAATTGGGGTTGGGTCAGCTGGTTCATTAAAAGGCAAAGTTAGATTATATATCTTGTAATTTAATCAGAATGATTCATCCACATATTAGTACTTTGTATAAAAGTTCAAATAAAAGTAGAAATGAAAATAAAAACCCAGAATACCAAGCTCCATATATAGTATAACCATTATATAAAATGTAATGTATGTGTATCCATTACATTTGCTTATATACATGTATAAAAAAACAAAGTAGCATGATGTAAATTTCAATAAGGATAGGAATACTGATGATAAAAGAAAAACTTCAGCCAAATTAAATTTACAGGACTTTGAGCAATGAACAATTCGTGAATTGGTCAGCCCCCAGAATCACAGCAGATTCATGGAGACTCTAGCACAGCCATATGGTGGAAAAAGATTTATAGACCAATAAAGGGAAATGATGTACAGAAATTGGAAGTGAGGTACAGAATGGCTGGATTGATTATAGCTTGGTGTTTGCCTTGTTTAAACCCAGTTTGAACACTCCGCAGTACACAAATGGTTGAAGTATGGCCGCTGGGATTGGCCAAGAGTTAGCTATTGTTACAGGCACATACTCCTAAGTTATGTTTTCAATTTTGCCTATTAAGCTAGGTTACAGTTCATCCACAAGGACTCAAATATAGAAGTACGGAGTCCTTCTCAGGTCATATTTAGTTTGCTTTAACACTGGGTATTAATAGTTTTTAAATTCTGCACTTGACTCAATATTAACCTTTTGCAAAGACAAGTGTGGAATACATTTATGATAAAAATGTGGCTTCTAAAATATGTTACTTAAGAAATATTTCCGAAAAAAACATAGCCATAAAATTAACCCAGGTTAATCTTACACCTACTTTAGTTTTTCTCTAACCCCAGGTCCCATAGGCTCCCATCTGGCAGTGGGTTTATGCTTCCTCCTGAAGTCACATTCTTCACCAGAACACTCTTTTTACAGGGTCACAGTGTCTCCACACTTTGATTTATTTTCTCTCTGCACTCAGCCTGGGCAACAAAGCAAGACCCTGAAAAAAGAAAGAGAGGAAGGGAGGAAGGTAGGGAGGGAGGGGGAAAGAGAGAGAGAGAGGGAGGGACGACGGGCTTTGCTGTCTCTTCTTTGTAGCACAGGTAACCTGATAATGCAGTGGAGGAGAAGGAAAATCATCCCCTCATTACATTTTATTTGATATCCTTTCTTGCTACCTTCTTTTACCTTCCATTTGGACATTGGAATAGCAGCTTTTCATTAAGCTCTGGAAAGGAGACAGCACCGAATGACAGAGCATGAAGATGAGTCTGCTATAAAACAGACTGAAACCAGGAGACCTGGGTCCTAAGTACCAGATCTTTCCTTGTATACCCAGTGGTTAGGGATGTGGGCTTTGGAGTCAGATAGATCAGGTAGAAAATGTGTGTACATTTAATAACTGCTTTCATGATCTTTAGCAAATGTTGAGTCTTCAAATTAATGAAACCCATATTTAGTATATAAACATTAAATATGCATGCATAGAGAATGAAATGAGCATTAATACAAAAAAAAGTTTAAAAATTAACCAGTGATGGGGTTATTGATTAATTATATATCTGGACTTGATTATATTTCCCTGAATTTCTTAATTGGTATGGATCTTTTTAAAATCAGAATTAAGTCTCAGAGAAATAGTGGTTATTATGAAATCTTAAAGTAACACAAAAAATTATAGAATACAACAGACTTCTACATACTCATGTCAACATATAAAACCTTCATAGGTGAGTCAAACACACTTTAAAGTCTTCTCTTATTACCTCAGCTGCCATCTTTCCCACGGGTGACCACAATGTAGAATTTAGGTTTTACATTTTTAAGACATTTTTCTATACTTTTATTACATATGCATATATCTGTAAGTGAAATATGATATCGTTTTCTGACGTGGTTTCATCCCTAAATACCTGGCTACCTCATGAAATAGGAGAAAGGAAGAAACATGAGGAGAACAAACACACATTCACATCTTAATAGAGGGACCTACCATATATGCCTATTTGTCATTTATACTGTCTCTCAGACTCACTGAAGCAGACACAACCATTTTCTCAGTTTATATGCTGTGGGGAGCTCCAACAAAATCTGCAGATACCATTTTTCAAACCTCTTTATTCCCTGATGAATTCAAAATCTTGGCGCTTCCCTGAAGCTAACTAGCCTAAAATAATGTCTCAGTGTTTCCTGACATGAAATACCTTCCATTTGCCCAGACCTAATTTTCTATCTTTAATCCAAACTGTAATTCATGTAGGCTTACCCTGTCTATCTGGAATCTAAACTGGGTCATGCTGGTGAAAGAAGACAGTGATTCCCTGAGTTGATTTTCATATGTCCAGGCTACTACCCAAATCCATTGATTAGTTCAGGGATGCATATCATTTAGAGCTTGATCTGATTTTGTATCACAATTGCTCAGTATGAGTATATTGTACTTTCCATTTGTTATTTTTGATTGCACAAGGAAAGTATTTCAAAAGAGTTTTTTTGTTGTTTGTTTGTTTTTCTTTTCTTTTTTTTTTGAGACAGAGTCTCACTCTGTCGCCCAGGTTGGAGCTCAGTGGCACCATCTTGGCTCACTGCAAGCTCCACTTCCTGGGTTCATGCCATTCTCCTGCCTCAGCCTCCCGAGTAGCTGGGACTACAGGCGCCTGCCACCATGCCCGGCTAATTATTTGTATTTTTAGTAGAGATGGGATTTCTCCATGTTAGCCAGGATGGTCTTGATCTCCTGACCTCGTGATCCGCCCATCTCGGCCTCCCAAAGTGCTGGGATTACAAGCGTGAGCCACCGCACCCGGCCTCAAAAGAGTTTTAATTCGTATGTGTTAATTGATGATCCTGGGGACAGAATCCATAGTGTAATGGGATAAAGAGTCAGTCAAAAGTGGAGAGTATTAACAAGGAATGTTTAAAACTCTTTGTGGAACTTTGAATTTGAAGGAGAAGAGAGAATCCAATGGGGGAGGACACATACACGTACACACACACACACACACACACAGAGAGACAGACAGACAGACAGACAGAGAGCGAGCGCCAGAGAGAGAGAGGGGGAGAGGGACAGGAGTGGTATCTCTATCATGTGGTTGAATAGGTGATGAGAGGTCCAAGGAGGGATTTTTGAAAATCATCAATTTTTTGAAACCCGATCAAGTTTAAAAATTAATGAGAAGAACCATCTCATCTCAGATTTAAACAATGAAGTCACCCATATATTAATTTCCTTTCTTACCCAGTTAATTCGACTTTAGAGTTCATGAGGTACCTGTAATGGAATAGCATGAATTCTGGGCTCTGTAAATATTTAGTTGTTAGCTAATTAAAAACTGGACAATTGTGTGTTATATTAGTCTGTTCTCATGCTGCTAATAAAGACATAACGGAGACTAGGTAATTTATAAAGGAAAGAGGTTTAATTGACTCACAGTTCCACATGGCTGGGGAAGCCCCACAATCATAGCAGAAGGCAAAAACACATCTTACATGGTGGCAGGCAAGGGAGCTTCTGCAGGGAAACTCCCATTTATAAAACCATCAGATCTCGTGAGACTTATTCACTACTATGAGAACAGTGTGGTATAAACTGCCCTTATGATTCAATTATCTCCACCTGGCCCTGCACTTGACATGTGGGGATTATTACAATTCAAGGTGATATTTGGGTAGGGACACAGCCAAACTATATCACGTGTCAAAGACTTGCTAGTAATTATTGGATTTTTGTCTCTAAGGGAAGCAGCAGATGACCGAAAACCTGAAGTGATGTGGCTGAGTACTGCATGATCCGAAGACTCTGCACTGGTGACTGCGGTATGGGTCCAAATTTTTCCTTAAAAAAACACCAAAAACTAAAGAGCCCAAAACTATACTGACCAGTCCAGGAACAGCCATTAGGCAAACACAACTTTTTGCTACCCTGGTATTACCGATTTCTGAGCTCAACAGGTGAATTCAAAGATATGCCTGTTTTTCCAGCATGGGGAGCTGGATTTGGGTCAGCTCGGGGGCATGATGTTGAACAGCTCTTATGAGCTTCTGATAATGCCCAGGAAGTACAGAAACAACTGTCTACAAATCTTTGAACTCAAGGCATATCACAGGGACATTTGCTTTCTTCAACTAGATACCTGTTTTCTCTTAAAGAGAAACAATGAGAAATGATTTTTCATAATGTCTCCTTAGCCCTGAGGCTCAGCCATCCCCTAGTGCTGTGTCCCAACATTTAAATGCCATTGAAGTCCCACTCTATGCCATATACTCTGGACAGGTTTTCTCATTTACCCCTCAGGACAGCACTGTAAGGATGGTATGGTCAATCCCATTTCATAGATGGCCAAACTCAGGCTTTCAGAGCCGAAGTTTCTCCAGATAGGTGGTAGGATTGGAATGAGGTTCCATCCCTCATCATCCATAGACAGCCCTGAGTAGCCTCCCTTTTAGAAGATGAGCTTCCAGGGCTTGAGAAATGGTCAGATTCCACGCCTCTGCTATTGTGGACCAATGCATCCTCACTACACAACCCCTCTGGGTGATGAAGAAGATAGAGAAGATTAAATCCCGCCATTTATGCCAGGAGACCTGGGTGTAGGGCCACACGAGTTGGTTGCTCCTCGAAGTGGTGAGTGGGCTCAGGCAGAAGCTCAAGTATTGGCCTTGGGACAGGGGAGCTTGAGAGAAGGAAATTAACATACACTAAACTACTGTAAGCAAATGCACTTTATATTTCATCTCCTTTAATCTTAACTGCTATTCAAGGTACCTATCACTTTGACCATTATTATGGTCATATTATGGTACTTTGGGAAAGTTTATGTAAATTGGGGAGAAAACTCTTTTCTCTCCAGATCAGCAGCTAACTCTAGAATTACTTAAAGTATTTTTCCATTTTTGTCTTGATATCTCCAGGACTCTCAATGCTCGTGTTTTTCTCAAGGCCGACAGTACACACGCCCTAAGGTGTTCTTCACCTGTATTTCTTTTTAAATTACAATCTGTATATATCTTATTCATATTATTGAAGTTGAAAACACCTTCTAAATGAAAATAACACTAAGAATTTCTATAAAATAATGGGGAAACATTTTCAAACTACATCTCAGATGTTAGATTAGCATCCACAATTTATAGGGCAAGCTCAGTAACAAAGCAGTTGGCAACTAATTTTGACATACAATTCCAATAGATATAGACATGAACAAGAACTTGTTGATTATGTTAAAACTGTAAGAACTAATAAGATGCTAATATAAATCCTCAGAAGAATATTAAATGGAAATGACAGGTTGCAGAAGGAGATGATTAATGTGATCACACTTTTTGGCAAAGATTATATGCACATGTAGGTGGACATGGTCATGTGTACCGCATCCACAGAAACATGTCTGGAATGTGTGCACCATTCTATGGACAACAGACATTTTGGGTCAGGAGGTAGGAGTTGAGCTAGTGAGAGGTGAAGATTAATTACAATTCATAAATGTGCTTTTGTATATTTGAAATTTGGTATTCAGGAATAAAAGTATTTTGATGAATATTTAGACAATATACTTTTGAACAGATTGACAAAAATAATGTGTATTATGTTCATTAATTTGAAATAGCTATTACTGTATTCTATTTAATGGTGTAAGAAGTAGTTAAGTAGAAGGACACAAAACAAGTCTCAATAAATTTAAAAAATCAAAATCATATCAAGTATGTTCTCAGACAAAAACGGAACAAAAGTAGAAATCAGTAACAAGAGGAACCTGGGAAACTGTACAAATATGTGGAAATTAAAGAAACAGCATGCTCCAGAATGACCACTGAGTCAAGAAAAAAAATTATGGAGGAAATCAAAAAGTTACTTGAAACAAATGAAAATGGAAACACAGCATATCAAAATCTATGAGCTACAGCAAAAGCAGTGCTAAGAGAAAAATTTACAGCAATAGATGCCTTCATCAAAAAAGGCAAAAGATTCCAAATAATCAATCTAACTGTACACCTCAAGGAACTAAATAAGGAAAAACAAACCAAATCCCAAATGAGTAGAAGGAAGGAAACAGTAAAAGTCAGAGCCAAACTAAACAAAATAGAAACTAAAAATATACAAAGTTTTAATGAAACAAAGAGTTGGATTTCTGAAAAGATAAAAAATTGATAAACCGCCAGCTAGACTAACCAAGAAAAAAAAAGAGAGAAGACACAAATAAACATCAGAAATGGAAAAGGAGATACTACAACTGATAACATGGAAATACAAATAATCATTCAGAGACTATTATAAACAATTATATACCACCAAATTGGAAAGCCTAGAGGAAATAAATTCCTGGACGTATGCAACCTACCAAGATTGAATCAGGAAGAAATAGAAAACCTGAACAGACCACAATAAGTAATGAGATTGAATCAGTAATAAAAATCTTCCAACAGAGAAAAGCCCAGGCCTGGGTGGTTTCTCTTATGAATTCTATCAAACCTTCAAAGAAGAACTAACTCAAGTTATATTCAAACTGCTGAAAAAACATTGAAGAGGTGGGAATTCTCCCTAACTCATTTTATGAGAGCAGCATTATTATGATATTAAAAACCAGACAAGGACTCAACAAAAAAGAAAACTACAGGCCAATAACCCTGATGAAAAAAGATGCAGAAGTTCTTAGCAAAATAGTAGCAACCTGAATCCAACAGCACATCAAAAGATAATATGCCAAGAACAAGTGGGATTTATACCAGGGATGCAAAAATGGTTCAACATATGCAAATCAACAAACATAATACAGTAATTACATCAACAGAATGAAGTACAAAAACCGTATGATCATCTCAACCAATCCATAGAAAGCATTTGATAAAATTCATCATCCCTTCATGATAAAAACTCTCAAGAAACTAGGCATCGAAAGAACATACCTCAAAATAATAAAAACCATATATGATAAACTCACAGCTATCATAATGAATGGAGAAAAGCTGAAACCATTTCATCTAAGAACTGGAACAAGACAAGGATCTTGTTTTTTCACCTTCATCACTACTATTCAACATAGTACTGGAAGACCTAGCCAGAGCAATCAGACAAGAGAAATAACAGATATCCAAGTCGGATATCTTTGCATTTGTTCCTCTTTGCAAATGATATAATTTTGTATCTAGAAAAACCTAATGGCTCCATCAAAACCCTCTCAAATTTGATAAATACAATAAAGTTGTAGGATAGAACCTCAATATACAAAAATCGGTAGTGTTTATATGCACCATTGATGAAATAGCTGATGATGAAATAGCTGAGAAAGAAATTAAAAAGGCATGCCTACTTGAAATAGCTACCAAAAATAACCTAGGAATAAATTTAACCAAGTAGGTGAAAGACCTCTACAAGGAAAACTACAAAACACTGATGAAAGAAACTGAAGAAGACACAAGCAAATGGAAAGATATTCTATGCTTATGGACTGGAAGAATTAATATAATTAAAGTGACCATACTGCCAAAAGTAATCTGCAGATTCAGTGCAATCCTTATCAAAGTACCAATGACATTTTTCACAGAAATAGAAAAAACAATCCTAAAATTGATGTGCAACCTCAAAGGAACCCAGATAACCAAACCAATCCAGACCAAAAAGAACAGAGCCAGAGGCATCACACTACTTGACTTCAAAGTATATTACAAGGCTATAGTAATCATGTTTTCATTACTATATGGTATTGGTATGAAAACAGACACAAAGACCAATGGAACAGAATAGAGAACGCAGAAATAAATCCACATGTTTACACACAAAACTGATTTTCAACAAAGGCACCAAGAACATACGTTGGGGAAAGGACATCCTCCTCAATAAATGGTATTGGGAAAATTGGATATGCATATGCAAAAGAATGAAACTGCACCTCTGTCTCTCATCTTACACAGAAATCAACTCAAGATCGATTAAAGACTTAAATGTAAGATCGGAAACTATAAGAGCACTAGACAGAAACCTGGAGTAAACACTTAAGTACATTGATCTAGGCAAAAAAATTTTTTTTTTTCTGGACAGGAAGTAGAGTTTATTGGTGAGTATTAAGTGGGGGCAGCATATTGGAAGCCCTCATGAGTGCAGGGCCCGCCATTTGTTCAGAGGACCACAATTGGGGATGTACTTGACCCCACAGCCATCTGGGATGAGCCACTTTTCAGCCACCATGTCTTCAAATTCATCAGCATTGAACTTGGTGAAGCCCCACTTTTTTGAGATGTGGATCTTCTGGCGGCCAGGAAACTTGAACTTGGCCCTGTGCAGGGCCTCAATCACATGCTCCTTGTTCTGCAGCTTGGTGCGGATGGACATGATAACTTGGCCAATGTGAACCCTGGCCACAGTGCCCTGGGGCTTTCCAAAAGCACCTGGCATGCCTGTTTGGAGCCTGTCAGCCCCAGCACAGGACAACATCTTGTTGATGCGGATGACGTGGAAGGGATGGAGCCACACCCGGACATGGAAGCCATCCTTGCCACACCTTTTTACCATGTACTTACTGGCACAAATTCGGGCAGCCTCCAGGGCTTCAGAGGACAGCTGCTCATATTCATCTGACACCATGTGGCCACAGAGCGGAAACTCATCCACTTTTGCCTTCTTCCATCCCAGGTCAAAGATGCGAATCTTGGCATCAGGGACACCTCGGCAGAAGCGAGACTTTGGGTACGGCTTGTTCTTACAATACCGGTAACTACAGGCGGGGCGGCGGCCCATGGCGACACCAGGATCTTCAGTGGCGCGCCGAAGGGAAAGAGAGATCTAGGCAAAAATTTTATAGCTAAGACCTAAAAAGACAACA